AGGAGATTGTGCTTTTACAGATGACTCGGGACCTGAAGACTTTAAAGATGATCCAGATGGTGAATTTGATTCTGATCTAAATTTTGATGATGATCCAGAATCTGGTGGTGATCATGCTTCTGGAAGGGAAAACTCTGAAGATGTAGGTTCTGAAGGACAAGCTTCTGGAGATGATCATGTCTCTGGTGGAAATCACGTCTCTAAAGGTGGACCTTCTGAAGGAGGAGCTTCTGAAGGTAGTCCAGCCTCTGACGGTAGTCATGATTTTTAAAGTGGAGCTTCTGAAGGAAGAGCTTCTGAAGGCAATCCAACTTTTAAAGGTGGTGCTTATAAAGGTAATGATTCTGGACGAGGTCTAGAAGCTAACAAAGGTGGAGCTTCTGGTGGTAGTCGAACTTCTGAAGAAAGTCCGGAAGGAGATACGGTTCTAGAATAAGAAGAAGATTCTGAACAAGTCTATAGGCCATAACGAATCAATCAAATACCAAGGAGATTTGTAGAGTTGACTAAGCTTTCAAAAAAGAAGAAAGTCATCAGCGTCAGATGCATTTTCAAGGTGAAATCTGCATTTATAAATGGAGTATTAGGAGTTGCACACTGTAGCCATCAAAAACAACTTGCAGATGTTTTGACGAAGGATGTCAAGATTGCACACTTTATCCGTTTGTGGGATGAAATTGGTGTTGCAGTTTTTGGTTAGCTGAATATGAATTAAGGGATGGTGTTGGAATTAATTCATATTCAGACTCTGTTGTTAGAGTCAAAAGCAGTGTTATTCAGAAATATTGTTTAGCTTCTAGAATTAAGTTTGTTTTGTTTTATTTACTTAGCTATTAAGTTTAGTTTGCTAGTTAAGTTAGTCTTTAAATTTACCTTTTGTTATAGCCTACGTGACAATTTACTTTGTGTATAAATAAACTGATAGTAATTGTTATTTGTAATAATCCTAATCTTTCTTATACCTTTGTAGCCGTCATTTCAGAGTAATAAAATATATTCTCATTCTTTCTGTCATCATCATCTTATGCACTAACAACTAAGATTTTGAGTTATCTTGAGGACAGATTAAGCAAGAATCAATCATAGGGTAACTCTCCTTTGGCATAACTAAAGTCACGTTAACATACACATAATCTAATTAATTAATGTATGTTTGTTGTCATTTGGAGAGTTTACTCGATTGAGCTAGCGTCTGCCAAAGAAGAGAAACCCCACAATTGGTTTGCTTAGTGCATAATATATTGAGTAGTAACTCTGGTTATACAAGTTTCTTGATACTAATAAAGCAAGAGAGTTAAACATATTTACAATGAGACCTATAGTAGCATATGCTCCAGCAGCTACCAGTATATGCTTGTATATGTGTGCCTGCTTTCTACGCATTGGATGAAAGAAAATATGTTCATTTGAATGCTAGAGATTCTTCCATTGATTTCTACTTCTCCTATCCCTAAGACTAACCATATTTTGTACATGTATTGAGGAATAATATTTAGAAAAGGCTTCCAATAAGGGTAGGCCCTGGTGGAGGGGCTGTATAAAAATAGAGATGCCTTCTTCCCTTTATTTAACCTATACAAAATTGGCAACAATACTTTCTGTTTTGCCCTAATGAAATATTTCATCTTTGATTATTCTTTTCATTTTCCCTAAAAAGTTTCTATATATAATCTTATTTTTAAATTGCATCTAATTAATAATAAAACATTATTTTAAATCAGTACACTTATTTATTTACAATTTTATAAATACTTATTGTTTTTATTAAAGTTTATTTATAAATAGTGTGATTTTCGTGTTTTTTTACAAAAGCAAACTCAACTCACATCACGAAATAAATATCGTTAAGGACTCAAATATAGAATTGTGTGTCTAGATCAAGAATTGACCATCCTAGCTAAACTATGAACTAAACAATTTGCTTGACGCTTAACAAACTTGACCTCAAAGTCATTTCGAGAAACTAAAAGATTTTTAATATGATCATATTGAATTCAGAGTTACCGAAAGAATTAGCGTTGACAGCTTGAACCACCGATTGAGAATCACTTTTCAAAAGTAATATGATTTAAATTCGACTGAATTGCTCCGAACAATATAATTAAAAATTTACACCCGATATACTAAAAACATATGTAAATAAGAAACATGATAACAATTTTGTAAATAAAGTGTCATTTTAAGTATTAGCACGTTACAATTTACACCCTATTTTTTTAAAAAGGGTGTAAAATAATAATATTATTATAATCAAATCTTCGTTAAATTTAAAACGGATGTAAATTTAAAGAGGTTAAAGGTAGTGCACTGTCAATGTAATTTAGTTTTACACAGTTATCTAATAGTATTATAATATTCTGCCATGTTATATGAGTATATTTTTAAATTTAAAATGTGACTTGATTGAATACATGTCCTTGATTGGTTGACAATATAAAAATATTTTACACTATCGGTACATAATTTTTTTCTCAAATTTAAATAAACTAAAAAAATTATTTAATTTTATAATTAAAAATATTAATCTAAACACATTTATAACCACAATCTATTTTATTAAATCTTAACTATTTTATTAAATGAGTCTAAATTTGTTAGAGTAAACATTAAATGAGTTAAGAATTAAATCTCAACCAGGAATTATTATAATATATCATAATTCTTATTAAAAAAAATTAATTTTAAAAAGTATTGGATGTTGTTCTACTTTATATTACTACATCCTTTTTCATGAATGGTTTGACAATTTTTAGGTAAGATAAATGTCTAATTTTTGTGGATATGGTAGAAAACTTTTTTATCTGATGTATCTACAAATAGTTTTAGTCTCAAATAGTAATGGTAAATTTTCAACGCAAAAAGCTTATTTCTTCCATATCTGCTTCTTTAGTACTTAATGCAACTCTTGGAATTGCTAAAAGTGTATCTCAAAGCTGATTAATGTTAAATTGTAATTCATAGGTGTCAAAATAAGATTTGATTTGTTTAGATTTAAATAGATTTGAATTTAAATCTAGATTAGATTTGATTTAGTAAAGAGATATTTTGGGCTTGGGTTTAGCTTAGGGAGCAAGCTAACCTAAATCTATAAATAAGAGGGAGTAACCCTTATTTTTGAATTAAAGTCATTGAACTCATTCACAGTATTTTGCAGTTGCAAAGTGAATTAATAAAGTTTCCACAGTTTGTGGGCCGAGAGAAACTCTGCAGAAATAATTCTATTGTCTTTTCTTAGTTTGTTTCATAACTAATCATCAGTGGTGGTCGAAATTCATCATAGAGTATTGGTGGATTTCCAACATCTGGTATCAAGAGCTTGTGTTTCGATTCAAGGGAAGTATCAATCAAGAACGATTGAAGAATTCAAGATGACAAGTTATGGGAATGCAAACTATCCAGCAACGCTGCCAATTCTGAAAGTTGACAACTATGAGAATTGGTGCAAGCAGATGAAAGTCCTATTAAGGTGTCAAGGCCTTTGGGACCTTGTAAAAGATGGAGTCGAAGCGCTTGGCGAAAACGCTTCAGAAGAAGAAAAGAAGAAATACACCGAATCTGAGAAACAAAGCTATAAAGCATTGTTTATAATTCATCAATGTGTCAGCCCAGACAACTTCGAAAAGATTAGTGATTCAGAATCTGCAAAAGAAGCTTGGGAGATCCTGGAGAAGTCTTTTGGAGGCGCTGAGAAGGTGAAAGAAGTGAGGTTACAAACTCACAAAAGGACCTATGAACTGCTTCAGATGGAAGACAGTGAAAACATATCTGATTTCTTCACTAGAGTTACAAAACTAGTGAATCAAATCAAGACATGTGGAGAAACATTAACAACAAGAGTTGTTGTTTCGAAGATCCTGAGATCCTTAGCCCCTAAGTTCGACCACATAGTGGTGGCGATAGAAGAAGGGAAAGACTTGTCGAAATTGACAAAGGAAGAGCTTCAAGGGACGCTCGAATCTCATGAACAAAGAATGAACGAAAGAGCTGCAGGAAAATCGAAGAGTGATGTGGCCTTGCAGGCACATTCAGCAAAAGAGACCAAAGGCAAAGGAAAGTATTTCGACAGAAGTAGAGGTGGCTACAACAAATCGAATGGCAGAGGAAACCAAATCGAAGGAGACGTGTCGAATCAAAGAAGACCACACCAAGGAAACCAAAGAGGTGGTGCTGCAAACAGAGGAAGAGGTGGTGGTCGAAAACCTGATAAGAGTCACATTCAATGTTATAACTGTCAGAAGTATGGTCACTATTCGAGTGATTGTCCAGAAAAACGAAAGAATCAAGAAAGTGATGCAAAGCTTGCAAAACATGAAGAAGAAGAATAAGAGATGATGCTGATGGTCACAACAAGAGATGAAGATAGATTCAAGGACCAATGGTACTTGGATTCAGGATGTTCATCACATATGTCTGGAAGGAAAGACTGGTTCGTCAATATAAAACCCTCAACGAAAAATTTGGTAAAATTTGCAAATGACAACACCCTAGCAGCTGAAGGTATTGGTGATGTTATGATCATGAGGAAAGATGGCAAGAAGTCAATAATTTCGAATGTATTGTACATACCAGGCATGAAGAGCAATTTGCTCAGTATAGGGCAGTTGGTCGAAAAGAATTATAAAGTGTCAATCGAAGATAAGTTGATGAGACTCGTTGATGCAAATGGGAGATTAATCTTGAAGGCTCCAATGTCTCAGAATCGAACCTTCAAGATTGAACTAAATGTGATGGAGCACAAGTGCCTTTCGACTGCAGCTAGCAGAGATGAATGGATATGGCATTATAGACTTGGTCATCTCAACTTCAGAGACATCAGAGATTTGAAGAGAAGAAATATGGTTTCAGGATTGCCTGAAATTGACATTCCAAACGAAGTATGTGAAGAATGTGTGCAAGCGAAGCAACACAAGAACAGCTTCAGCAAGGATGCAGGAAGCAAATCAAAGGCTAATCTCGAAGTCATATACTCTGATGTATGTGGACCAATCCAGGTGGATTCGATGGGAGGTAACAAATACTTTGTTACATTCATAGATGATTTCAGTCGAAAGCTATGGACTTACCTGATCAAGAAGAAAAGTGAAGTGTTCGAAGTATTTATCAAGTTCAAGTCCATGGTCGAAAGCTCAAAGTTTTGAGAACTGATGGTGGAGGAGAATATGTGTCGAAAGATTTCGACAGATTATGTGAAAAAGAAGGGATTGTGCATGAGGTGGTGCCACCCTATACTCCACAGCAAAATGGAATTGCAGAAAGGAAAAATCGAACCATCATGAACATGGTGAGAAGTATGTTGAAAGGCAAGAATTTACCCAAAGAGTTCTGGGGTGAAGCTGTTTCGACTGCAACATACATTTTGAACAGAAGTCCTACAAAGAAGCTAGAAGGAATTACTCCAGAAGAATGTTGGTCTGGTGTGAAGCCTAGCTTAAGTCATCTGAAAGTATTTGGATCTATTGCACATAGACATGTGCCAGATCAGTTGAGAAAGAAACTTGATGACAAGTCAAGTCAAATGATCCTAGTTGGATATCATTCGACAGGAGGCTACAAGTTGTTCGATCCAGAGAACAAGAAGATTGTGATCAGCAGGGACGTGATCATAGATGAGTTCAAAGAATGGGATTGGACTGCAAATGTCAAGAAAGATTCAGTGGGAATCTTATTCGAAGAGCCAGAAACTCAAGTCGAAAGAGAAGTTCGACAAGAGGAGCCAGCAGATATACCCAGTACAAGCAGACTTCAAAGAACAAGACGCATGCCTGCAAGATTGCAAGATTGTGTGATTACATCAGATGATGTGATAAATGATGAAGGTGAGCTGGTACATTATGCTTTCTATGCAGATGTCGAACCTGTTAATGCAGCTGAAGCACTAAAGGATTCGAAGTGGGTGAAAGCAATGAACGAAGAAGTAAAGTCTATCGAAGACAACAACACTTGGTCACTTGTCGAATTGCCTCAAGGCAAGAAGGCAATTGATGTCAAATGGGTATACAAAGTGAAGACGAATTCGAAAGGTGAAGTAACTCGACACAAAGCCAGACTTGTGGCGAAAGGATTTCTACAGAAAGAAGGAATAGACTTCGACGAAGTTTTTGCACCTGTTGCTAGGATCGAAACAATCAGGTTGGTTGTTGGTCTAGCAGAAATCAACAGTTGGCACATATGTCAGATGGACGTGAAGTGTGCATTCCTAAATGGACCCTTAGATGAAGAAGTCTATGTTAAACAACCAGTTGGGTTTGTGAAACATGACGAAGAGAGAAAGGTGTACAGGAGACATCATGACGAAGGGAGTGCAAGTCGAAGTATTCAGAAAGCTAAGAGCCATGATGAACATAGACAGTTTAGACACAATGAATTAGGTGGTGTGTTAAATTGTAATTCATAGGTGTCAAAATAAGATTTGATTTGTTTAGATTTAAATAGATTTGAATTTAAATCTAGATTAGATTTGATTTAGTAAAGAGATATTTTGGGCTTGGGTTTAGCTTAGGGAGCAAGCTAACCTAAATCTATAAATAAGAGGGAGTAATCCTTATTTTTGAATTAAAGTCATTGAACTCATTCACAGTATTTTGGCAGAAATAATTCTATTGTCTTTTCTTAGTTTGTTTCATAACTAATCATCAGTGGTGGTCGAAATTCATCATAGAGTATTGGTGGATTTCCAACAATTAATCCATATATCACATAGTATTTATATTATCTTTCTTCATGTTTGAAATTCTTCTTGTGTACTATTTATCAAGACAAACAACATCGCCAAGCCAAATAAAAAAAATGAAATAAACAAATTCTTCAACGACACTCATCAACATCAACCGCAACCTACCGGTAAACGCTAACTTCTTTTTATCCCTTTTCCTCGGTATCTATTCCGCAGATGAAAATGTCACAGAAGTTGGATGGTATGTTCTCGGCGAGAATCAACAACAACTCAGTCCTTACGTCTTCTCAGAGGTGCGCGGTGAGTTCACTTCTTTGATACTAACCAACAAAGCCTTGTGTTCTTTTTTCTATATTTTGATTTTGGGAATTTCGAAATTGAACGAAATTGAAATTGATTTTAGGTTGAAATAAATTTTTTATTGACTTGTTAATTTACATTGTAGAGCATTTCTTGAATGGATACTTGTCTGAAAACACACTTTTATGGTCTGAAGAAAAAACTGATTGGCAATCTTTGTCTTCAATTTATGAGCTTCAGGATGAAATTAATCGACCTGATTCTTCTTCAAATGCGGGTATAACTTGTTTTTTCCTTCCTAATTGTTTTGATTTTTTGTGCTCTCTTATTATTAATTGTGTATTTAGAGACTATGTGATCTATTCTTCAAATTGATTACAACTTAAAGCTATAATTGGTAGTTTTTGCCTCGAAATATGATTCTTATTACCCTCAAAGTAACTGTTCAACCCACTTTCATTTTAACTTATACAAACATAAATCACTTTTATCTTAGATACAGTCCATTGGGATTCCAAGCCTATGCAAACACCACTGCACCAACACTTTGGTATCTCACATCTATTAGAGATGTAGTCAAAATTATTTTTTTAAGACTAGTGAGATTTTGGGATTAGTTTTAATGTAGTCGAATTCTAATATGATAAAGAAGACTTTCCTAAGATCTCACGTAGAGATAAGATCAATGTTTTTCTAATGAGGCAAGGCATATCCTTATCTCTTGAGTTGTTACCTAATTTTTTTTTTTTCAAGATTAAGATAGGAATAGTTCAAATTGTAATGAGATCAACTTCTTTCCTTTTTTATGACAGTCCATCACATAACCTTGTGATACCAACTCACCTATTTATTACTTTTTGCTAGTGGTTAACTTCTCTTTTCTTGCTAATTTTACTTTCAATGTCAACTCATCATTCTTACTGCAGCTAGAATAAAACATTTTGTGGTTTTGATATCTATTAGAGAAATTTTTTAACACTGCTTGTGGCTATTTTAGTATGTTATACAGTGACGGGCTAGGCTTAATTGATTCCCTCTTACCTACTTTTATAATCAATTGCAAATTTTGCGGAGGTGCAAAGGATCTATTGAACTTGTTGATGTCTCCAGTGAGCTTCCCCAACTTATGCGTTGGCTGGGTCTGAAGAGATGGAAGGTTTGTGTTTTATGTGACCATTATTCTTTCAATTGTAGTATTTTGAAGGTACTACATGTAGTGACAAGAAAGGAATATCTTGATTGGCTTACACATAGAAAAGTTGAGCATGTGTCAACTGGAATTGGTTAAAAAGTTTTGTAATTGAGGCTGTCCATGTTTCCTCTGCTTTCCCTCTCTAATATAATCAATTTTTTAATATAGTATATAAGAATGTGTTGTGGAAAGCTTACTTTTATCCTTTTGTTAAAAAGACAATTTTGAACCTTAGAAGTAAGGTCACTCAAATCCAACATCTTTGGGACCAAATGCTTCTTCATCAAAAGTTTTCAATGAAAGCAGTTTATAACTTGCTTATTGATGACTTGAGTAGAAGTACTTGGAGTAAGCTCCTTCTGCATAATCATGCTAGACCGAAAGCCAAATTTACTGCCTGGTTGTTGTGTCATGGGAAGCTCCCAACTAAGGATAGCCTGGTGAGGTTTGGTATTGTTCAAGATAGCTTATGTAGGTTGTGTGATCAGGAGGAAGAAAGTGCTAACCATATTTTCTTCAGCTGCTCCAAAACTATTACTGTCTGGATGGCAACCTTAACTTGGTTGGGGGTAAACCATAAACCCCTTCTCTGGGAGGATGAGTTGAAATGGATTCTGGCTAGTAGTAAAGGTAAGGGTTGGCGGGCAACAGTGCTCAAAACGGCGTTTACAGAAACAATTCATGAAACATGGCTGCTTAGGAATGCTACTATTTTTGATAACATTACTTTTAACAACAATTCGGTAGAAAGAATTATTGATGGTATAGTGTATAGATGCTGGGGAAATAGGAAGATTAGGCCTAATATTACTAGATTAATGTGTTAGCATTTCTTTTGTAGTCTTAGCTGGCTGAACCTGTAAAGGTTGCCTTGGATGTATTGTTTTCTTTTGAATTAATATATCAGTTTTGGTTCAAAAAAAAAAAAAAACAATTTTTAGATTTTTTTTAGGGTTATTTCTGTCTTTATACAATTGGCCCAAATTATTAAATGTTTTTCAAAACAATTGTATCTCATTGGTGGAATTTTACACGCTCTCTTAATGACTTTTGATATGAGTCTGTTCAAATACTCTTTTCCCTGCTTTGGTAATGACAGATATTGATTATTCTAAATCCTTTCCTCCGTTCCAAACTTTTCATCTTCCAAACGACCCGCCTTCTTCCTTCCACTACAAATCGACATGATATCAGCCTTTATTTGCGTCACCCTCATCTCTGTAAGTTGTCTGTGTTTGATATCCATCTTATTTTAAATCCGTTTTCGTGATTTCTTTTTTACTTGGTCGAATACCTAACTAACATTCTAACAATCAGTTTGTTTTGCTGTGTTTGTAGGTTTTTTATGTTATTTGTTTGTCCCTTCCATGGCCAGACCCTTTGAATTGGTCAAAGACATTAGCGATAGAAAGGAACTCTGGAAATTGAGCGAAGCCCATGGATTTCTTTCTTAAAAACTATTTTGTATATAATTTTAGAAATACAAGTAATTTTGTTTGATGCATTAACAGCTGCCAATCCTTAACCAGGTTCAATAAACGGCTCTTTATATACTTTGAAAATAAATTTTATCAGGTGAAAATTTATAAATGCAAATGCTTGGTCTTTCTACCGTCATTACGGTATGAATTATGATTATTTGTGTAGTTAGACACACTAAGAAACTACTGCAGGTTTTGCTTTAACCATCTCAAAGTCAATTATGTTGCTGTAAGGTTGAGTCAATTTTGCAAGTTGTTGCATTTTTGTTTAGGTTTGTGGACCTTCTGCACAATAAAAGAGGACTTTATGAAGAAGCTGTTACTCCTAAATTGCATTAAGTTTTAGAGGGCTTTAATTGTACCATATTTGTTTATGGGGGAACTGGCATCGGAAAAACATTTACTATTGAAAGGGTAACAGCTTCGGTACAGGCCATTTGCTGATGCATTTTCTGTGTTGTAGATCATTTTATATCGGTGATGCAGCAGTGATGCTGATATTAAATTTGCAGAGGTAATTAAACTATTTTAGCAACAAGGAAATAAGTTATGATTTGAGAACTTAATAATTTATATCCTTCCTACTTTTTCCCCCTTATAATGATTCTGATCAATTGATTGTTATAACCTAGATCGTTCTGATCACATTTTAACAACTCATTTTTGTGACCAACAACATTTTCTTTTATCTGGTGAAGAAGTTTTTATATCTCATGTTTGATATTTGTTTCCACATGTTTCTATAGGTTACTTTATTTTTGATTTTGTGATGATCCTTTGGTTTTTTCCTTCTCTTGGTGGATATGAGTATGTAAGGATAATATCTTCTTCACTTGCACTGTTTAAGCTAACTGTCTTATGTAATTGAATGCTCTTATTCAATTTTAAGACATTTCATTTATATGAACTTAACTGGAGATGATTAAGGTCGGGATTTAACTTGACTTAATGTTAACATTGGTTCAGGTGGTTCATGATTTGTTTTCTTTAATAGCAGTAACATATTCAATGTTCAGGTATTGCTTTGTTTTTAATTAAAAATAATGTTTAAATATGATTTTCTCAATGAAACTATATTTCTACTCATACTCATTGTTAGTGTTATATTATTTTTGTTGAAGCAATCTATTTCTGCCACAAAGACGAAGGAGCATGGAGCAAAAGAACAAGGACAAAACCCTGATGCTGATAACTTTTCTATGTTTTATGGAAGAGCTTTTACATCATAGAAGGACATGGAAGAGTTGGCTACCTTGAAGGAACAGATAGGAGACCTGGAAATGATGACATCCAACAAGAAAGTGGAGAAACTTCAAGAAGATATGGACTCTGCAAGTAGATGTTTCGACATTCACGTTGTTGCTCGAAAGCTTAGCAGATACCGACACTGCAATGTACACAGATGATTATGACACCAAGCCTTATGTTTTCAATCACGTGCCAGAAATTGTGAGTTTGTAACATTTTTTCAATCAATATACCCATGTATATCTGCACACATTGTTGTATATGGTGACAATTTCATCACAACACTAGAATTGTGCAGAAATAGCTAATCCATGGATGTGGACCTTTAGAGTTATACATTTGACAAGATGATATGGGTGAGATGGAAAGGCAGAAAATGGAAGAAGCAAGAAAAGCTTACATCGTTGCAGTTGTTGTTAGCAAAGAAAAGCAAGATGAAGAATCTATTGCTGCCACTGCTAATGCTAGGTTACATCTTCAATCAGTTGCAGCGGTTACATGGAAGACAAATATAATTGTGGTAATTGTTACTAGAAGAGCAGTTGTGGCTGCAACTAATGTTATAGTCACAGCAGCTGCTTTGTGAAATGAGCTCTTTGGGTTTTAGATATGTTATCTCATGCGGCGAAATCAGCCGCAAAATTGGTTCAACATCAAAACAAATGAAACTAAAAAATGTTTGGTTGTTGTACACATATAAATAGGAACAATTAGTCGATGATACTATATCAGTTTGAGGTTACTTATCTGGTGCAAATGTTGATACCAGAGATTCCATGATAAACAACAATTGTATTAGTTTGAGGTTATTTATTGTTGTACACCAAAAGTTGTTCTCTCTTTTTTTAAGACATTTTCTCACAAGGATTTTCAAAAGTTCAAGATTGCACAAGTACAATTGGACTTTTGATGCTCCAATTAATTTCCATGGATCATATTGGGCCTTTAAGCATCAAATCGAAGAAGAGAAAGCTTGCTTCGATTTCCCAAGCTTCGATTGGACTTTGGCCTCCTTAAAGCTTACTTCGATTTTCCAAGCTTCAACTGGACTTTGGCCTCCTTCAAGCTTGCTTCGATTGGACTTTGGCTTCCTTCAAGCTTGCTTCGATTTCCCAAGCTTCGACTAGACTTTGACTTCTTTCAAGCTTGCTTTGATTTCACAAAGCTTCAACTGGACATTAGCTATCTTCATGCATGTTTCAATTCACAAGGCAATGACTTCCCTCATGCTAACATCTACAAGGCAATGGGTTCCTTCATGCTTTCTTCATGTTTGTTTCAATCCACAAGGCAGGGGCTTCCTTCATGCTAGCATCAATAAGGCAAGAGTTTCCTTCATGCTAGCATCCACAAGGCAATGGCTTCCCTCATGCTTGCTTCGATTCCACCTTTAAACCCTTCAACGCACATAGTTTCTACACTATGACACACAACTGGTAGATTCGAAGAACATACAAAAGGCCCATTCGAAGAGCATGGATTTGGTGGACTCGAAGAACACATATTTGATGGCCCATTCAAAGAACATGAATCTGGTGGATTCGAAGAATCTACATTTAGTGGTCCATTCGAAAGACATACCATTGGTCCATTCGAAGGACATACAATGGGTTCATTCGAAGAATACACAACTGGTGTTTTGTCTTTTGATGAGTCTGGTCGAAGGCTGCTGAACAAAGTCTTATATGCTGCCAAGCCCAAGCCTGTTGTACTGTTATGAAACAGTCCTGCACCAAGCTGCCACAACATTCCAAAACTGATGCAAAGCACTCATGTTATGCTGCTTCTAATTTGCACCAAACTACCATATAAGAGTTGCACCTCGAAATCTATGAAAAGAACATACCCAAACTGTTCAAATTTCATTTGGTCCCCCCTCCCCAATTTCAGCCAAACTCTTCTATAAATAAGATGTTTCACAACACATATAAGGGTGGCTTTTTAGTGGCTGGAGAGAGATTTGTTGGCAAGGCAAAGAAAATAGAGAACATTTGAAACACTTAAACCCGGAACAAAAAAAACACAACACTTCTTTTCTTTCTTTCGAATCCATAACCAAAGAAACACAGCGATTCTTTTCTTTCTTTCGAATCCAGAACCAAAAAAACACAATACCCTTGTTCTTTGCTTTCGAATTCAAGGATATCCAGGACAATAACTCAAAGTTCAAAACACCAACTCCAGATTCAAGGTAAGTCTTCTTGACTTTAAACCTTTTCGTTTCAAGCATCATTGGTAACTTTTTGTTTGTTTTCGTTTCTATCATTTTGTTTGTTTTCCTTTGTTGTCAAAAACTAACCTGTATAGACCACAGAGCAATGTTGGAATAAAAAATAACAGCATGGTTCGACATAAAGCCTTAGGCTTCGAACACACTGCTTTATAGTCCCAAGCGAAAGGAAAAGAGGTTGTGTGAATCGAAGGATGCAGGCTTCGATACACACTGCTTCACAGTCCCAAACGAAAGAAAATAAAAAAGGTGTGAATCGAAGGGTGTATACTTCGATACACCCTGGCTTGCAGGCCCAAACGAAAGAAAACAAAAGGGGTGAGTGTGGATCGAAGGACACATGCTTCGACCATGCTGCAGGAACCGAAAGACTTGTTCTTTCTCTCTCTTTTTTGCGTTATTTTTTGTCTTTATGTTTTCTATATATTTTCTTTCATTGTTATTCAATATGGTTGTAATAATTAGCACTTTTATTGCTTTCCACCCCTTATTTGTACATTTGTATCCCCCATCCCCTAATGATGTAATAGTTTAGGATTTTAATTTCCGCAATTTACTGCTTTAATATAAATTGTTAGTAATTGGGGTGTTTATGGCAAGATAAAATCAATTCTTAGAAAACCCTAATTTCAGAGACAAAAATGCATGAAATCAAACACACTATTCACACACGTGCACCTCTAGGGTAATCTCGCTTGTTGCCTCGGAAAATAGTCATGTACCTCGAACATGGACGTTTTAGCAAAGACCCTCGATAAAAAAAGACTGTAGTCCCTCGATGTCCCTCGATGTTGCCTTCGATAAACGATCTAGTCCCTTACGAAATTGCTAAAACGTCTCATAAGTTGCCTTCTATGACTATACAATTGACCCACATTCGTCCCTTCACATCCAACGATGGGGCTTCTTATCAAATCAATGGTAAGGTAGCAACATCTAAAGGAGGAGTAAAAGAACATAGACATTTTGAGTAGGTAGGACACTCATAGTTGCTTGCTCGCAAACTAAAACCATTTACACACATACACTTTCAAAACATCTTTCAAAAACAAACATCTCTTTGAACTATTTTTAAAACCAACACTTTGTATGCATTCTTATAGAGACGAGAATCATTACAAAGTTTTCCAAAATAAGGCATTTTGCAAAATATTTTTAAACTCACACCCATCACAAAGCATATTTTCAAACAAAGCAAAAGTGATCTAGCAAACAACTAAGAGCCCGTAGATAACTACGGATGAAAAGGGTGCTAACACCTTTCCTTTTCATAATCTATCTCCTGAACCCAAGAAAATAATCTCAAAGGTCTTTCTTGTTCTTTTCACCCTTTCTTTATTGGATAAAAGAAAAGTCGGTAGCGACTCTTGCTATCTGCAACAATTGTGATCAAACGCAAAACACCAAAGTCAGTTCTCCCACCGTATTACACTTATATTGCTTTAGGATGCCATTATTTCACATCACCCCTTTTATTTTGGACCTTTTTAATTTTGACTATTCGATTGTAGATCTTCAGTTGGATGTCAAAGGTTGTACCGATGTGTATGCTTCATTCGATAAGTACGTCGAAGTGGAAAAACTTGAGGGTTTACAAGTAAAATCTATAACCATGCATTCTCTTATGTTACTCTGTACCTGACCTTTAATTATTATTGGATAATCATATCCACTTTATTGTGATGGGTAGATTTGATTTGATTATTAGTAGATTGCATTTTTTTATATGGTGTTGATAGATCAATCATGGGTGATGTCTTGTGGAATTTGACTGTTGTTTTTAACTATATTTAAGGTAATAATTATAATGATATGTATTGATCTCAACAAAATATATCAACAATCATTGTAATGTTTTTTCCTTCTTAATCCTTCGGTTTTATAGATGGAGGGCTTTTGGTAATTCGAATTTTGCCATCTAATGACTAATTTGGATATTGATATTTTTGACTCACTCCACCTGAATTGTAAGTTTGAGTTGAATCATTCTCTTAATCAATTATTATCTTTGTCTCATGAAAAAAATTGATTTTTTTATTATTATTTCTCAGATATTCCAATAATATTTCTACTATGTAATGATGAAAAACAAACTTAGATATTATATATACAATTATGTTTTTGATGCATGAGGTTTGGATGCTAAAAATCTAATTTGAACTTTATTTATGCTCTGATACAACCAAGAGACGTGTAGATAATTAAAATACTTTATCATACACATGTTTGTGTATTTTATGCTTAGTACCGTTTTTTTTTATTGGTTATTGTTGCAACGTGTATCATTCCGTTGTGCAGAATATTTCTTTGTTGGTGAGTATATACTTCATATCTGTAGGGCTTATCTCACAATGGAGACCCTGATACAGCCCAGTTTTTTTAGATAATGCAAATCTGCACTTAAAAGTATGATTTATTTGTTAATGATCTGACTCATTTGGTAAAATAGGCTAGTGTTTGTTATCAAAACATAAATTTCGTTTTAATGATTATTTTAACGTAGGAATATTGGTGGGAGTTAATTATGATGAGATGGAGCATATGAAAAATATTTTACGGAGACAAATATTTTACTGATTTTACATAGAAAAATAACTAAAATAGAAATATTAAAAGTCATTAATTGAATCAGTTACTTCGATAACATTTCCTTTTTTAAAAAAATAACATTAAATAATTCAATAAATCCTAATCAATTATATTAATTAGGAGTTTTGAATTTTAATTTAATTATGTTAAGTTTTATGTTGTGAGTAAAAAAAAAATCATTTGTAATCTATGTTGATAAAAATAAATTTTTTCCATAATACCAAAGAAAAATATTATACGGGTCTTATGGAGACAAAAATAAATAAAACGGAAAAATATTAAATATCGTGAATTAAATCAAATGCGTGTAATACACTATTATTTATGCGAACATTCGGGTAACACACCAATATCGTGTGAACGCAAGGATAACTATACTAAATTCGCATGGATTATTATATTTTTTGTACAACTTAATTATATTTAAAATCATATATGAATTTTAACACGGGAAAAATATTTTTTTTTAAAAATTATTTATGTTGTTAATATTTTTATTCTATAATTATTTTTATTTTAAATTATAATATTTTTTTTAAGATAATATATGGAAAATTGAAATATATATTATTGATAAAAAATAATTTTGGTAGAACAATTTTTTTTTTAAATATGACTTTTAAAAAATTATAAAACTTTTTGATAAAATAATTATTTTTTCATATTTATATTTTTATTACATTCTAAAAATAAAATTATGCATCCCACACTAGTATTCGTCGAACGGACGAGTAATACACCAATACTGTGTGAATACATATGTAACC